AAATTATATTATATTTAATTATTAAAAAAAATTTGTTATAATTATAATTAATCTAATTACGAATTAATAATTAAAACAATATAATTTAAGGGTAGTATTGTCATTTAGAAAATATTTAGCTTAAAGGGACAATAAATGAATGAATTTAACCTAAGGGGACAATGTCCAAACCTAATTGACTTAAAAAAACTATTTTCTCAAATAAAAAAGGAAACTAAAACTAAGTGATTGCTCTTCATCAAACCATGATTTCTCTATATTTTTTCTTGTGATTTTCTAAAACTCTAAAATTGTACTGTGCAATTTGGTACTTTTGGTTTAATTAATTTTTAAATTTTATTCCCTTTAAGTTTTAGTTAATTTTTTAGCATTTAAGGTAATTATAAATCGTATTCACTTGACTAAACAAGGACTAACTTTTGGATTATTAGAAAGATTAATTATAGGGACAAACTAAGATTGGTTTTATACTATGGGAATAAAGATGGTGAATGTTTTGTTCTATTATGGTAAAGTTTCCCTTTTAATCAATTTTTGAAAGGTGCCATGTTTACAAATTAATTCAGCCAACCAGGTTAGATAGCCAAGTGACTATTAAATCTTCGGCGTATCAAAATATAGCGAGAATAGGATGTTGGGTTTAAGAGAATCTCATATTGATAAAAGTAGAAATCGGCAATTAGGTTACCGTTGACGAGATAATTCGCAGAAGAAGCAGAAGAAGAAAATATGTTTTATTTATTATAGCTGAACCTTTAAAAGACTGCATATGTACCATTGGTTAGAGAGTTTTGTTATATTAGTTGTTTTATTTCAGTCTGGTTAGCAGACCATCTCAAATTTCAGTAATAGAATCATTGTTTGTTGTAAAATACTCGCATATGTGCCATTTGAGAAGGGAACATACCATTCATAGTTCCTTACAAGAGAAATAAAATCATCTGATCAAACTGTTCATTGGAGAATTAGTTTTGCTTGATTTGTGTGTGGAGAGCTCTCAATTATTATTTTTCTTGAGGTGCCTCTTTATTTATAGAAGTTTTAGGTATGTATTCTTTTTTCTCGAGTCTTTTCATTTTAGGTCTTTTGTGCTGATTTCATTATCTTTGCCAAATTCTTTTTCCTAATCAACTCCTATTTTTAGGTGGGCCGATCTAAATTTAGACTTTGTAGGATAATTTTTTTAACAGATTTTTTTTTGTAACTTGATTTTCATTTAGAACTAAAAAGAAGTCTTAAAGATTATTTTTTGAATCAAGTGGTCTTGGCCTAGTGGCAAAATGATTTCAGCTGGAGTTTCCGTCCTGGGTTCGATTCTCCTTGGCCATCCATGGATGCCTTAACTGGCAAGAAAATCCGGATATATGTGGGCCTCAAGGTGATTAGTCTTTGGGTCTATAAAGCCTTTAGGATCACACCATGGTTTCAAAAAAAAAAACAAGATTATTTTCTTTTTTTTTGTAGATACTTTGAATTACTGATTTAGGTTCTTGTAACCATCCTGACCAAAAGGAGTTATATTGTTGCACTTTCCAAAAGTAAAGGAAAGCTTAAATCTCGACTTATGTTTATCTCGTTAGTCGAAAGACCGGTATGTTAAGTTAAAGCGTCTTCTTCCTGCCTGCTCCTATGTTTTTGGCTACATTGCAGGTTGTTAGCTTTGGATCCTGTTTGGTGAATTTCCTTTTGCGGCTAATGCTTTTCAAGAAATAAGTCCGTTTAGTGTTCCACACTCATCATGTTATGATCTATTACATGTTAATTTTTCGTTATAGTTATCTCATTGTAATTTTTTATTCATGCAAACAATATGTTTCTAGTAAAGCAAGCTTGTAGTAAAGTATTGGACATTAGCTTTTTTCATGCAAGGCCAACAATTAAAATACTTAATACAAACTTTATTTTCAATATGAGTTCTAAAATTTATGAATGCTGATCTCATATGACTACTTTCCCTGACTAGACTTGCGGATCAGAAACCAATGTAACGGTTTTGGTTTGTCACTACCACCAAGTTTAGTTGGAGGTTTTGTTTCATCCTTGCTACCAACGTTAGTCAGAGATTTCACTTCATTAGATCCATCAAGCATAGTTGAAGATTTTGTTTGGTCTTTGCCATCAAGAATAGTCACAGACTTCTCTTTATAATATGGTTTTGGTGCCAGTTTTGAAGGATCTGTATTGGTTGGCGACATTCCAGAATTATCATAGCCACCGGGTTTAGTTGGAGGCTTCACTTCATCAGATCCACCTAGCTTTGGTTTGTCACCAAGCTCATCCGAAATTTTTTCTTTGTCGTTCGGATTTGATGCCAGCACTGAAAGATCTATATTGTCTAGTGGCATTCCATAAGTAATAGATCCACCAGGTTTAGTTATAGGTTTCACTTCATCAAAACCATCATATTTAGTAGGAGATTTTGTTTCGTTGATGCCACCATGTCTAGTCGAAGTTTTTCCTTTGTCTTCTAAATTTAGTTCTCGTTCTAGAGGATTTTTACTGGCTGGTGATGCTACAGAATTACTAGAGTCACTAAATATAGTTGGAGGTTTCACTTCAAAGGAGATTCCACGTTTAGTTGGATATTCTGTTTTGACATTCTCACTGGGTTTATTTGAAAGCTTTTCCGGTACATCGGAATTTTGTACTTGATTTAGAGGACCTGTATTGGCTAGTGGTGTTCCTAGATTACTGTACTCCCTAGATTTAGTTGGAGGTTTCACCTCATCAAAGGCGTCAGATTTTGTTCCGTTGTTGCTACCATGTTTCGTCAAAGATTTTGCTTTGTCATCTTGATTTAGTGTTAGTTTTGGAGGATCTTTATTGGCTGGTTGTTTTCCAGAGCTACTTGAGTCACCGGGTACAAGTGTAGACTTGATTTCTTCTGAGTCGTAAGGTTTTGTTCTGTCATTGCGACCAAGTTTAGTCAAAGGTTTTTCTTTTTCTTCCATCTTTGGTGCCAAATTTATAGTTTCAGGTGGCCTTATAAATGGAATAGAGCCAAGTGGACATCCCGATGGCATGAAAGCAGGACATGGTGGACCGGATGAGCTAACTGATTGCATATAACTAAGTGGTGGTGCACCATGCAGCCAATTCTCTGGAGGAGGTGGAAAAGGCAGCCAGCTCCTAGGGACTGGTGGACTTCGTGGCCAACTCCCTAGGCTTGGTGGACCTAGTTCCCAGCTTCCCGAATATGGTGGACATGGCCAACTCTCGAAAGATGATGGATTTATCGGCATGCTGCCCATGGGTGGTGGACCTTGTGACCAACTCCCCAAGGGTGGTGGACCTTGGGGCCAGTGCTCGGGTGTTGGTTGGAAAGGCGGCCAACTCCTAAGTAGAGGTGGTGGACAAGGCGACCAGCCCCCAAGGGGTTGTGGACCTGGTGTCCAGCTCCTCAAGGATGGTGGATGTGACGGCCAGAACTCCGGAGATGATGAAATTGGAGGCCAACTACATGTGGGTGGTACACATGGAGAACAACTATCCAAGAGTGGTGGACTTGGTGGCCGGCTCCCGGGGTGTGATGGGTGTTGCGGCCAACTCCCTGAAGGTGGTGGACTTGGGGGCCAGTGCCCAGATGGTGGTAGAAAAGATGGCTTACAACCCGGTGGTCTATTTCTTGGTGGCAGTGGTCCGTATTCTAATTGTCCAAATGGCATAGAAGATTGCCAATGAGGCATGATTTACTTTTTCTTGTATTTGTTATTATAAATTATTTTCTTAAAGGGCAGTATTTTAATTGAAACTGAAAAATGTGTTGTTATATGGGTCCATTTTGATATAAATAAAACATCGTAACGTGTGCATGGGGTCTGTTAGATACTTTGGAGAAAGTTGAAGTTAGCTTCTTTGAGGGAACAATTGCTAAACGTGAGCAATGAGGTGTGGTATAGTTAAAGTACAAGTTTGGAATGTTTTGCTACTTTTTCCTGTCGTTTGGAGGAATAATAGCTAAACGGAGCATGGTATGTGAGACGGTAAGTACTAGTTTCGAATGTTTTGGTATATCTTTTTCCTAGCGTTTTGTACTATAAGTTGAGGACATCTGATTCAAGCATGCAAAACACTTCAAAGATTCGACATGGAGAGACAAGTATAAACTACTGACGTGAAGATACATATAAGTATAAACTTCAACTGACGTGAAGATACAAGTATAAACTTCAACTGACCTTAAGAGATAAGTATAAAATGAGTATTTATTACCCTAATTAAGGGTGATTTGATAGACGCCTCGAAACACACGAGTGAACAAACACGACTTCTCAGTGCAACAAGATGTGCATGGGTTGGATTTGAAATTTTGAAAAACTCTAATCGATAAAGATATATTACTATGTATAAGTAAGTAAAAATAAGTGATTTAGATTATCTAAATTCATGAAACTAAGCACAATTTTGACAATTTAGATTGTCTAAATATATGAAACTATGTAAAATGTGAAGAAAATTAGATTCTCTAAATGAAAATGGTAATATTTAGTTTGACAAAAATCCTGTAATTAGTAATTGAAGCAGTGAAGGAAATAATAAAAGAAAATGATAATATTTAGTTTGAGAAAAATCATGTAATTAATGATTGAAGCAGTGGAGTGTCTATTTAAAGGTTTGTTGATAGGGTATTGACTCCCCAAGAAAGCACAACTTCTTTCACACGTCTTCTGACTGCATTTAAACTATGTATAATTTTAATTTATTAATTTATAAAAATTTATAACTACGTATAAGTAAGTGAAACAAAGTGAATTAGATTGTCAAAATTTATGAAACTAAAAAAACGTAACAATTTAGATTGTATAAATATTTGAAACTATGTAAAACTTAATATATTTTAGTGGATATATTTAATGACATAAACTACCAGTATAGGATTAATGATTTATTACCCCAACTTCCATTTTGTAGCTCCTCCCTTTATGGGTGATTTGACGGACTCCTCGAAAGAACACAACGTCTCTCATGAAAAAGTCTCTTATAATAATCATTACACTTGTATTTAAACTCAACTCCTTTAAACTCCACCACGGTGATTTAAGATTTCTCTGCAAAAATTCACCAAAAATAAAAGCAAAGCAAAGAAAGGATTCATCATCTTCTCTCTCAACAAACAAGATGACACTCTACCATAAGCTTTCTGAAGTTTCTTATAATCCCAAAATCACGGCTTGGCTTTTCTGAGCCAAAATACACAGGATCTGTCTTTACTATTTCCTAGTTTTTTGGCTCTAAAACGCCAAGCCGTGATTTTGGGATTATAAGAAGATGAAGAGGTACGTGTTAAATGATCTCTTAATTTCTAATAAAATGTAACCGTGAAAAATAAAGACTTGATCGTTGTACTTTATTTATGTAGGGAACCAAGATGGAGATGATGGTTTTCGGGAATTATGATAGGTTTAGAGTCCTAGAGAAGCAAGAGGGAAAATAGGTAGAAATCTTCTGGGTAGAAGTTAACCGTTCCCTTCCAGGTTTCCAGGCAACTAACTCTCGGTTCACTCTAACTGTTACGCCCCATACGAAAATCCACATCATCGATCCTCTGAACAATCGGCTTTTTATGGACTTCAATAACATATATGCAATCCCACACATGGACCACAGGGACCGAAACTATTCCATAGGTATGAATTCTACTAAAATTTAAATATATTCACATGTTTAGATTTATGAAACTAAGATAAACTAAGAAAAACGCAACACTTGTCTGGTAGATACAATGGGAGTGGTTTTCAACACGGAAGCCCATTTCGTTGACACTGCAAATCCAAGGATGGTGTTTTACATAAGGGACAACATGTAAGTAGAAAGTAACATATGATCAAAGCAAAATTTATCTATACTGTAACTGACGCACCTTTTTTATTCTGAATATTGACAGTCGGATAAAATGTGTGGCAACTGGCGATCATACTTATGCCTTCCGGGATGGTCTTGAAAACATGAGAGGTCGTGGACAGGTGATTCTGGTCCTTAAGATGTGGAGGGTCGGGAAATTGACGACTAAGTGTAGTTTATGTATCTAGTTTTAAATGTGATAGTTGAGTAAAACGTTTACTAAACTCATTTATAGAGATTACTTTGGTCCTCCAGATCTATGGCCTGAGACTCAGGGTGGATTTTCAGACTTCAGGTTCAATCCCTGTTTGCCGGAGGTTGAGGAGTTCAGGCAGTCTCTACTACGCAGTGACCCTTATCTTCAGAGATATGGGGATGTAGTTCTTTTGTAAATCTTGGTGTTCTTAATGTTTTCCATCTTTGTACTTGTCTTAAACTGTGTGAAACTTTGTTTTAATGTTGGTGAAACTTTGTTGTTTTAACTTCTTCAATTTTCCAACTTCCAAAAAAATAGATGAACTAGAAGTTGTTGCTCATCTAAACTGGTAAGAATTTGTGTTTTCACTTAATCAATTGTCCAACTTTGTAAAATTTAGACAAAGTTGAAATTCGTTTGGTATAAATAGGTCAAAATTTGTGTGACTTTCACTTTATCTATTGTTTAACATCTTTTTCGATACATCAAACTACATAGTTATCCAACTTCGCATAATTTAGAAGAAACTTACCAAAAAATAAGAAAAAACAGAAAGTTTAACTTTGTCATAGCTGTAGGAATTGAATTCTCTTAGAAATTACTTCTTGTACATCATAATTCCTAGAACTTAAACGACGGTAAGAATAACAAAATCTCTTGATATCTTGGGTATTATTTTGGGACCTTCAGTAAGTTCACCTTCACTCCTTTTTGTTGCTTTGATAAATTGAACTTCTTCTTCTAGCTTTCGAACTTGGTAGTCCAACTGTTGTATCTCATCGGTGAAAGCTTCATCAACCCATATGACGACGTGATTATCGTTCTCAAGCTTAAATTGATTAAATGTACCAATTAAAAGAAGAAAAATTATGCCTTCAATAATTAAAGCTAAACGGATGTACCCTTTGTGAAGCCGCATAGAGACACCGATAATATCAGCGATATGGGTTTTGATTGCTTCTGGAGATGAGCTCGGTGGTTCGCACCCGACACCAACACTTGCTAGGTATTCCCAGAGTTCGTACTCGTCTCTGACCACTGGTCGTGGAAGATGAAGCGGACATCGGGGTTGGGAGAGAGATAAATTAGGGAAAAGAGAGAAAGGAGAAGATAGCGAATGGGGAAAACAAAGAAAAGGTCTTTAATACTTCGATTACACAATTTTGCGATTTTGGGTTTTAGCAAATTGGGAAGAGGGAAATTAGAAATTCGAAAATCTGGGCGGGAATTTTTTTCCAAGGATTTCCGTGGTAGAAGTTTCACCAAGTTTCTAGTTTTACAGAAAACATCAAAGTTCTACTTTTTAATTATTTCTGTTTATCTTAGTTGTACTCTACTTGAATGACTGATTTTATAGTTTTACCAATTAAATTATGTTTCCTTGGTTTGTTTCTCGTATGATCATGTACACATAAACTTAATTTCGTGTCATTAGGAAATTTTCAAATGTAACGAGGTGGGTATTAACGAAAAAGCTATGAGAACGCAATGCAATTCCTATATGATTGCTAACAATCAATGAGATGGAATTTTAATAATTCGGATTATATCATAATTATCATAAACATTAATAATAAATCACCATGTTATTACTTCCATGAGTTATGAACAAGTTGAGAATTTAGAATCATATTACTCAGTTTACATATCGTAGTTATACCGGTAAAGAAAAAGTTTCACTTGGTTGTCAACACACAAAAACAAATTCCCACAAATTACACCTCACAAGATGATAAAAACATCAAAACTGAAAGGCTTACAACTTACTTCACCTCACAACGTTTTCTCTTCTGTTTCTTCTGGGGATGTTAATCGTGTTCACCATGTTCCAAACCAGTGTCCACATTGTCTTCTTCTCCATATCCACTCTCACACTCACTATAATTCCTACTACAAGAGCTTTCTACAACTCTCGACAGTTGCTCGGTTATTTGAACTATTTGCAATTCTTGGATGTCCTCCACATGTAAAACACTTCTTCTTTGCTCTTTGTCAACTCATGTTAGATAAACAAACACATCTCCATCATCCAAAATATATGATTGCCTCTTAGGTTCCACTACCAATGGAATGTAACCCAATTGAGCCTCTTCGTAAATTGATTTATTCCCATCTTCTTTCATATCCTCTCCTTCAACAAAGAATAAGTGATCTCTTCCAATGATGATGTCTTAAAGGATATAGCATACAAACGAGCATCGGTTGGAATGCATTCATAATCATCTCCAGCCTTCGAATAATCTCCATCATAATCAAAGTGTATGTTCGTCGAAAAAGGACACACTGTCTACAATATTAAAGAAAAATTAAACCATTACTTGGTTACACAGTTATACCATTTAAGCTATTCTTGGTTATACAGTTATATCATTAAAGTTATACCTCGTTATACAATTATACTATTAAAGTTATACTTCGTTATATAGTTATAGCACTAAAGTTATACTTCGTTATACCATGTTACAGAGTTTTGTCAGTTATCAGCACGTCTAATCTAACCAAGTTTTCCCAAGTTTCGGAGTTCTAGATGTTTTTCTCAAAACCAAATAGTAATCAACTTTCTTTGATTGAATCGTCCTTTCATTCCTGACATTCAATCATACAGTTGTTGATTATCCAATTGAGTAATAGACATACCATCCACACTTTCCAATCCTCATACACAAATGAATATGAAAATTTCCATTACTACGAATCGAGTCTTCAATTCAAAACCAAATTGTAATCAGTTTATATTCTCGACATGCGATTATAAAGTTCTTGATTATCAAATTCCCTAATAATTAGATCATCCAAACTTTCCGATCCTCGACTAGTTCATACACAAATATGAAATCTTCTATCCAAATCGAAATCCCTGTGAATAAATCGAATAAATCGTCTATGGTGGATTCTAATATGATTTGAGATACATACCCTGTAAATGATTCAACATCCAAGCGATGAAACCGAGTTAGCAGTTTGATGATAGCGAGGAAGAGCACATGCCCACGAAGAGGACGAGAGAGGATCAAGGAATTGGAAAGGGGTGGAAAGATTGGAGGGGGCTCGATTCTATTGGGAGGGGGGGGGAGAGAAGGAGAAGAAAATAATGATTCACCCATTAATTTAAGTTGAAATCGGTCAGGAGAATTTTTGACATTAACCACACTCCTAAAGAGTATCAGAATAGACAAGAGTAGGCCAGAATTCGTAAGAGTATGCCAAAATACTGTTTGCCTAATTAAGAGCATATGTGATTATTGCTCCAACTTAACTAAGTGGTGGTTCTCTAATATTTCCCATTTGAGGAGTGAAGATAAAATTAGATCATGTCCTTAGATACAATAACTCCTGACCCTATCGGGGAATCGATTATTTCATAACACATGACGATGGTTGTTCATGTTCATGTACGAAATATCTGAGTTCCCTGACCCTATCATAAAGGTAAAAATCATGTTGATATCCATATATGGGTGTTCATAATTCTGATGACTCTATAGCACCATATGTTTATCGTTCTCAAATAGCCATTCCCTTCAATACCTTGCTTCGCTTAGATTCATAAGAAACAGAGTCGGCCTTCAACAAGACTTGATTTAGAACAAATATCTTACAGAAACATAGGAGGTTTGGTGAAGATTGTCACCCATTGTCGTTCTTATTCTTCAGAACTTGAGATAACTGTGTAATCAGAGGTCACACGTACTAATTGTTTATCCAGAGTTCACATAGAATGACTATATCTATGCGCCAAGTAAGAGGCAATCACTATAAATTTATAACAAATATTAAGCATCTCTCGCTCTTATTACCTTACAATCGGTTTGGTCTAGAGAAAAGATGATACATGGGTGTTGGACCCAATTTCTAGCCATAATCAGACGGGCATTGGCCCCTAAACTTTTGTTTAAAACCCAGCCCAAAACGAGCAAAACAAGATCGAAGATCTTGTTCCGGAGATCGCGGGAACAAAGAGGTCGGTCAAAGCAACACAAACTATAAAAGGAGAAGAAGGATAAGAGAGAAAGACACAGAGAAAACCCTATAGCTTACCACCATCCTCATCGACCTCACTTCATAGTCTTTAGTTTGTTTATAGTTTCGATCTCTCTTTGTTATTCTCGATTTTGATTATTGCTTTGTATCGAGTCTCATATTCAATAAAGTCCGTTTTTGTCAACCGAATTCCGGTTGTATCGTTGTGTGTTAAGAGCATCGTTGCCCACATCATTTGTCTTCCCTAGATTAAACTCTTGATCACTACAAAATACTTAGTGTGGATTTTAGAATCTACATTTTGGCGCCGACTGTGGGGAAGATAAACAAAAAACACCCTTGCTAAGAACCCCATCTAGGATTTCTAAGCACGATTATGGAACCCAACGCAACAAACGTTGAGAACTCCTGATCGAGTTCGACCGATGTCCACCCCGTTGGAACCGCCCTAGGGGATGAAATGACACCCGTTGAACAAACGAACGTCAGAGAAACAACCAGCGTGACCCAAAGTCAAGGAACTCCACCGACATGGACTTTGATCGCCAATAAGAGTACGGTCTTAGATCAAAACCCTCCCACTGACCGAATCGGGTCTCGAGTTTGGAACTGTACGACGGAAAGAACGACTTCCGAAGATCTGATCCGACCGATAAGACCGAGATCTCCGACCCAACTACCCCGGACTCGGGAAGAGGTCCATGAAGTCAGAGGAATGGTCTCGACGCTCATTGATAAATCTTGCGACCAAGAGATCGCCCACCAAGCCATTTCCAACTGTTTGGAACAAGCCGAGAGGGAACTCGATGAGTACCGAATGAACCCTAGGAAAAGAGTTGGACAACACTCGGATCCATCCCTGCGAACACCACTCCCTCCGAACCGTGGAGCCTTCACTTCCCCCGAGCTTACTAGCGCCCGATCAGGACGATACGCCGGGGAAAATTCATGACAGACCCTCCAGAAGGAATGACCTATCGAAGTCTAAATTACAACGGTCAAGATGAGATCGAAATGAGATGGAAGGCTTCAGAACCACACCGATTCAAACTCAAAGCAGGACCACTGAATGACGCAAAGAGCCCAGAGTTCAAATATCTCCACCGCAACATCGAGCTCGAGAAGATCGTTTTTACTTTGGGACTGACACACCTCAACAGGCCGGATTCACGGCGCCGCTGGATGCTGTCCGCAGATACAACCCTTTGAGATCTT